ACACTGCTGTGCTCTCCATAAACAAATTTTTGGATTTCCATACTGATTGACTGGTCCTCTCTTTTTTTATCCCCTAATGGCAGATGAACACCTCTCTTCTGGGAAGTATCGGGATGCTGAACTCTGCACCACAGCTCCGCTGCATTAAAACGTATCAGGTTCCCCCTGTCCAACCTGCATCGCCAGGCTCCCACAATGCCCTCAGACTGGCCAGGCTCATCTGGACTTCCAATCGCAATGTCATTCTCATGGCCCACGACGGCAAAGAGCACCGATTTGTGGTGTAGAGTCAGGCGTTCTGCTTTTCTTTCTTGCTCTCAATACAGTTTTGTTTGGAAACCCCCTGTAAATCTCATCTCCCTCATTGTGATCTTGACACCAGGCGGTCCACGCCAGGGTCCGCACCAGTAACGCAGCGAGATTGGCCAGGGGAAATTGCTTCCCTACAGCAGAAGCCTTGCTGTAGACTTAGAGGCACACGTACCAAACTCAGCAGCCTGCAGCAGTTATGCCAGCATTGTAGGGTTTTCCCCTTTATCCGTAGGGAGAATAAGAACCATGAGAACGCAGCTGTGCTTCTTCGGGTTGCAACTGCTTCAGTAAGACTCTCTGGAAGATCTTGATTTTATTAAGTTAAAAGGAGGGGGGGAATCAAATCACAGCATTTAAACCGGGCTTAATCTAATCGCTTTGAGAGTGGCTGAAATGATTCACAGGGTTTTAAGTTAAAACTTTTCTTCTTCTTCCTTCGAAGTATTTAGAATCCTGATGTTTACTGAAAGTATGTTTGTTTACATGGATGCTCCTCCAGCTGTGCTCCTAGCCTAAAATGGGTGGTGGCAGAGAGGTGGGCTTGTAGCATCCACACACAGGTCTTCGCATGCATTCTCATGGCACTTCTTGACTTACAGGACAGGGTCAGATGGCTCCCATGTGCATAGGAACTCCCCTGCGTCCACTAGAGATGCTGGTTCACAGCATTAAAGGTTTATTGTACCTGTCAGGCTCAGGATTTCACGGCAAAATATATGGGAAAGAGAATTTTCCACTTCCTTCAAACCGGCGACACTTCCTTATATACATTCTTGATTGATTTGGAAATGATGGCGTGCTTTAATGAGCAAAGAGGCAATTTAATGTTTCATATATCAGGGAAAAGAGAATAATATTGACTGTGGTGTTAATTTTTTTTTATTTGAAAAAAAAAATGAAAATTTGCAAGGTTACTGGAGAAAGAGGGTGGCTGTTAGCATTTCCTTTGCTGATAATATGGATATTTGTGTCCATGAGGGTTCTCTCTCCCAGATTTCTCTTGAACTGGACCCAACAAAAATATGACCCCAGTGAATTTTGTTCTGATGTCAGCTTAATCATGATGCAACACATTTTCAACATTTAGATTTCATTAAAGGACAGGGGTTTTAAGAGGTGGAAGTATTTGATGGAATGCATCACTGGTCATTGGTGCAGGAAATTGCTACTATATTTTTAAACATTTTCAATAAGTGAGCAGTGTAAGATGTTCACATATCGCCTGTATTTATTACTATGTGAATGCACCTGGAGTTTTGTTCCTAGTACGGCAGGGAAAACATTCTGGAGAATGTTTTGTTTAAATGGTGGTGCATATAGACATGTGCTTTTCTAGCTTCCATTCTCTTTGCCTTAAATCTGGGGAATATGCAGAGAGAATGCTCTTAGTGTCTGCTAACACGTTCAACAGAAATTGAGCCTGTCAGATCCCAAAATAGATTTTGAATGAATAGATTAAAAAAATGATGACTTCTGAGTTGAAAAACTATTGAGTACATTCTTTTAAGCACGGCTTGCATGCAGTCCCCATGGATATGAATGAGAATTGCACAAGAGTAATCCAGTAGTCTTGCTCTCATCTCATGTGTTTCAACGGGGCCTGTGCTGAAACAGTTCCTAGTAGTTTGCATACATTGATATATTTTTTTGGTTAAACATCTCGGTGGTCTGTTCAATACACTGTACATGTAAGTAGGATTACACAGGCTGCAATCAACATATCTATCTACATGAGATTTTAAAAGCAGAGAAAGAAATTAAAGACCATTAGGAATGTTTATCTCATAGTTGTTGTGAGTTTATATCCTTTTTAACTATGGCAAAGCTTAAGTGGAGTTTATCTAATGGTGGTGAAATTCTGTTGTGGATCTTCCGTGTTTTTGAAGTGAACTCACGCAACAGGTACCAGGATTTGGAAAAGGCAAGAAAGCATACACAAAATATGTACGCTCTTTTCTACTGAATCAGAATGTTAGTATGACATAAACAGAAATGGACCATTTGTGCATTTCCCCTGGGGCATTCCAGAGTCATATTTACTTCTCTTACACAGACTTCTTTGTTGTTCATCCATCCTTTTCCCTTTCCTTGTGGTGCCCATGATTCAAAGCTCCACAAGGCTCCCTTGCTCACATGGAGCTCTGCATGGAAGCTGCCTTGTCTCATCAGCAGTGGCTAAATGCTTCTTGCATGCCGTGGGACTCGGTGCAAAGATTGCTCCCCATCACTGCAGAAAATGGAAGGAGCCTCTGCTTGCAGAAAGCTCCACAGACCCACTGTGATCAGAACTTTATATTACTATAAGCAGAGGGCTGATACCCAAAATGGCGCCTCTGTACAGAGTTCCTCTCCTCTCCCCTTCTTAATATGTTGCAGCAACATCCATGTCCCGACATTGACATAAAAGCAGTAGCCAGCCAAGGAAATACAAATGCACATAAGATTTACTTCAAACTACAAGGGGGGCATTCAGAACCCAAAAAGCGGCTGTTGATTTCACTTGCCTGCAGCTTCTGTGTGTGTTGCAACATGGAGTTTCACTCTGGGTGTCTACCAGACCTGTTACATTATGCTGAATGAGAGCAAATCTGCCAAGTGGTGCTACACAATTTATGTTCATTTCAGTGGGACCTGTGTGAAGCCCCCACTTATTTATTTCAAGTGCAGAATCTGGAGCAACTGCACTGCCCCGTTTTTATTTTTATTTTAAATGCTTAACATGTATTTCCTAAATTCCAGCCGCTTTAAATAAAACCATGGAAAAACACGCTACATGCTTTTATCACTAGGAAGTAGTTCAGTGTTGTGAAAGATCTAAGAAAGAAGTTTAAATGCTGTACCTTCTTAAAATTATGTATTCTGCAGATATCTAACACGTGGTGCATTATGTCTATTTAAATTTTTAAAAGGCTACTTTTAAACCAATAGGGGAAGCTAGCCTGCAGGAAAAAAAAGAGCAATTTAAACATGAGAATCAATATTTATGTGCTAGCAGCTACAACAATCCGCTAGGCTTTTAATGGGAACCCACATGACCCTCTCACTGAAATAAATGGAGACTGTGCTACAGCAGGCAGCGTTCAGTGGATTTTTGGCCTAGAAGTCTTAATTTCCCTCACACGCAAATCAGCGCTTGAGTGACTTTCTCAGGCCTCACTGCAAACTTCATCACGGCTTAGACCTTTCAGCACTGCAGTAAAATTTGTATTGTCATTCCAGTGTAAGCTTTTAGTGTTTTATTGATTTGTTTAGTACTGTATTTGGATTTGTCCTTGTAAATGTAGAGACGTACGTGGCTTCATTGGCAGTTTACAAGCAAAAGATGACATGATGAGACACCTGTATGAAAATGTTGTCATGACTAAAGTCGCGGTGTACGGTAACTGATTAAAATGTCTGCCTCAAGAAACGACTGGGCGACTCCACTTATTGGCTGCTGCATGTACCCAATGGCCCTGTGTAGATAATGTCTGTGAAATAAATGCTAAATTGGACCAGAGAGTGCTTTCCCTATATTACAATCATCACGTTGATTGCCACACTCAACAACGCCAGGCGGTTGCACTAAGCCGGGCTGGACGCGACAGTCATGTTTTAGCTGCGTTTGGAAATATATACCACAATTGTAGTTTCAGCTACCCACGCTCTATAACACCGAGAAATTAGCAGTAGTAATGTTACAACATTCTGTGGCCACTGTGACCCTCAGTTAGCGATGTGAAACGAGGATAGGGAAACGCAAAATATTGTAATGTCATGACACTTAAGATGCTAGGGAGGGAGTACATGTTTCACAGGACAGCCATTTTTAGCATCAGACACTGTGTTTACCATATTACCTAGTTTGTCCCTTAGTTTTTTTGTGTGTATGTAGAGAGAGACAGTCTGTGTTTCCTTTTGGTGTCTGGGACATTTCATTTTGGTAGGTGGAGACTCAGCTTCAGAAAGATCAGATTTATTCATAAGGCAAAAGGAATTAGGGAAGGTAATCAATGGAGGAAATACTCAGGCTTGGTATTTTAATTTTAGGGATGATGTGATTACATCCAGAAAGGAAGACAGGAATTTAATTAGTACCCTCCATTGTACAGGAAAATAGGAGGTCTTTTTGTCTTCTCCCCCTCTCCCGAGGAATTGAACCAAGTTATTTGCCGAGACATCAAGACAAGGGCAGCTTCCCACTGGGAACGCAGCAGAATGTGCTGTGTCTCCTTCATCCAGCAGTTTTTCACTTGGATCTACATACTTGTGGTATCACTAGGCTAATTATTCTTCAGAGAGGATCATAACCAATAATTAATTCGGTCCTTTGGGTTGGTGGGGGGGGGGTTCCCTTGGAAAAGCAGAAGAGTATGGATTGAGGTGGTCATTATGTAACAGAGGGGAGGGTGGGGGACATCAGATAACCACAAGCCTTCATAATTGCGACACTTCCAAGAACCTCTTGATTCTCAAGGTGTGTTCCTCTGTTACAATAATTGATGGCTTAAATATTTTTTTTTCCTATAGGTAGAATCTGCTCTGTAACTGTTCTGTTGCTGATCACATAAACTGATCAAACGCAGAAAGGGCACGACATTAATAGGAAGGTAAAGCCAGGCAGTGCTGGATGAACTTTCACCTTTCACCTCTTCAGCTGACAGACAGAGCCGAGTGTTGAAAAAAATCAATACTTAGGAGCCAGGAGGGAAATATTTCCAACCTCTAACTAGAGAATGTATTTTGACAAGGCCAAGATAATCCAAGCTGCAGAGGAGAAAGAGAAAAGAAGACTCATTTTTAAAGCTTGACACTTCAAGGTGTTTTTGTACAATGGTTTAGAGAAAGCATCGATAACGTACAAATACCAAAGGTCAAAAAAGTAAAGCGGGGAGAATTTCAGAAATTACATGCATTGTCTTTCTTTCTATTTGCTTTACCAAATAACAAGATTGCAGCCAAGCTTTGATTACCAGATACATGTACACGGACATTAAAGAATTATGTGATTCCATGAATTCTCCCCATTTGTGGGGAGTGGCACGAGTGGGGGATTAAAGGCATCGGTGTTCTGCCTGCAGCAATTCCATTGTGTAGCACGTCTGCCTCCGCTCTCTGCTGTATCCTGGCACTTCCTTGCAGTAATTGCTTATAATATTATCTAGTGAGTTGTTGAGCATCCTCTTTGTGAAATGGGAGCTACTGTCACATATATGTACCAAAGCGGATGCTGGAGCCCATTCTGCGTGCATGCTGACCACTGCCAGAACTGGAAGTGTGAACAGACCCAACACTGACACACACCGTGTGAGAATTCTGTGTGCCTGTATCTGACTCCCGCACATTAAGTCATCACCTAGCTTTGCAGTCATCAAGTGATGAATATTCACGTGTGAGACAGACCTTAGATTAGCTCTTTCGGATTCTGCATCCAGAGATCGGCATTATTATTATTATCATTATTATTATTATTATTATTATTATTATTACCCCAAGTCAGTAAGTTGGCTGGTTTATTTACCTAGCTATTTATTTCATAAAATTTATACAGTGCTTGATGGTAAAAAAACAAAACAACAACACCCTCAAAGCAGGTTACAAAAGATAAAACAGTCAAATTCAGAAAAAATTACAGCCATGCTGGTCTTGCAGAAAGATAAGCTTCACCTGGGCAGCTCAGCACCTATGTACATCTACTCTGAATTCTGGGTTCAATGGAATGCCCCCCAGGTGAGCGTACCTGGGATTGCAGCTTTGAAATCTTACCATGAAGTTACATCTTGGGGTTTCCAACCATGGCCTGGTTCACACCCTAGGCAGTCTCCTTGATATCATCAGCCCAGTGGAGTTCATGTTGGAACCATCAACATCTGTATGGCAGCTGCAATCACATAAGGTACAGAGGCAGCAATTCATGTTAGGGGTGTCTCCATGCAGTCCTCACCAAGTCCAGCAGTCTCTATATAGTCTTGATGGAAAGCCATTGTTCTGTCATGCTCACTATGGCAGCAGCTACTGTACTAGAGCAACACTTCCATTGCTTTTCAATGCACAAGCAATTGTTCACTGTTACCTGTTGCAAGGTAATCTAGGAAGCTGCCTTATACTCATTGGTCCATCTCACATGGCATCGTCTACACCAGCAGTGGCTCTCCAGAGTCTTTGCTGAGTCAACTCAGAGATGCCAGGGATCGATGCTTGAACTTTCTGCATCCATGTTCTGTACCATTAATAACCTTATGGCTGTTTCTCAAAATTACATGAGAGTGGCCCATTCAAATCCAGTAAAACAGATAAATGCCCCCTCCATTAGCATAACCACAGTCTCTGGAAGCCAGCCAATATTGTGAAAAGTAAGCATGTACCTATTGATCATCTGCGATCAGTTGGCATGTCCAAAGGAAAGAGTCTTTTCAGCCATGACTCCACATCTCTAGAACACATTGCCACCTGCACTGTGACAGGCTCCATGATTTCTGGTGTTCAGAAAAGTTCTAAAAGAACCCCATGTTTTCATTTGCTATTATCCTGAGTGTGTTTAGGCTTGATGACGACGTATTATTATTGAAGGCTTATAATGATTATTTTGTTCTTGCATTTGTATTGTTTTGTGTGTTATAAGCCACCTCGAAAGGGGTTTTAAAGGTGACCTAAAAATATATCTAAATAAATGGGAGAATGTTATTATTGCCGTAAAGGTGCCTTTGAAAATACAAGAAGACAGATCCCTGCCCCAGAAGGCTTGCAGTTCTGAAATTCAACACAGTAGAGAATTCAACAAAAGGAAGGCAAGGATATATAGGCAAGGGAGATGATGGCTGCTGATTGATCGTTTATTTTAAATTTGTTGCTGTTTTGACATTTTCCATGTTAAGCTTGTGGACTGCTTTGAAGACCTTTTTTAAAAAAACAAAAATATTAAAGGCCAGCCCAGTAGCACTGAGATCAGAATTTTGGGATGGCACAACAAAGGAGACAGCTGGAGATTTTTCTTCCTGCCGTTTCCTCTCCTCCCTCCCACCTCCACCACCCATTTATCAGAAGTAGTTGCAGGGGATTTTCTGTGCACACCCAGAGAAAAGGCTGAAATAACGGCAAAAAAAAAGACAAATAAGAGGTTGAGAATAGGAGTGACGCATTCTTAGCAACAGGAGAGGCGTCTCTCCAAACTGTAGCACAGCAATGAATCTGAACTGGTGCAAATTGCTTAATGGCTATGGCCACCTACTGGCTAATTACTTCAATATCACAGATGATCCTTCACTTGTAAGCTCTGCAACCTCCACTCGGAAAAAGATACCTGCGATGAGAGGGGGGCACTTGAGATCTATAGGGAAAATATTATTACAGGAAATTACAACTGTCTGCTCTTTTGTTGCAGGAAAGAGGGCTTCTGAGCATTACAGGGTTTCTAACCATCAGCACAATGGTGTTTTTCTGAGAGTGTTTTCCCCCCCAAAGCATAGTACCTGCTCCTTGTCTCAAGGTCTTGCAAATTATACATTCCCTGTATGTTTTAATTGAGCGTCATCTTCAAGGTACGCCACTCGTAAGTGGAAGCAAGTTCTGTTTCGAAATGCAGAGGTTTAGCTGCGAGTATAAGCAAAACAGCAAGTATTGATCGAATATTTTTGCCGAGCCTCTAATAATGGTGCTCTTATTATTGTTAGTGTTTTATATGCTGCATATTTCTTAGGAGACGCAGCCGCTCCTGGTAGTTTACTGAAAAGCCAGTTCAAGAGAACAAATTCATTCTTATCCTTTCAAGGGGGTGGGGGGGTGGTTTAAATCCTCACTGTTAGAGGAGCTTCCGTGCAGCCCAATCCTTTGCATTAGCCCCATCACCGGGTAACTTCACTGAAACTCACTGGGCATCACTCCTGCTTCTAGCCCTCATGGTTGAGAACAAAACCTTCATGAGGTATAAAGCAAGCTCCTCTAAAGGCTGTGACACTAGAGGGCGCTCTGGGTGGGGTTTCCAGCAGCCAAGGAGAACGGTGGGTGTTCTTTAAAATTATACGCACATGCTGTGTTTGTTCTTTAGAATTATACACACCACTGCTGTGCTGTGCTTTTTGTTTTTGTTTACTTTTAGAGAAATCAGCGCAGAAAGAATTTCAGTGGGAAGAAGTTCTCATAGAAAAGCAAAATTAGCAAATGCGCTGATGTCAGGGGCTCGGTAACCCAGTTTTTTCAGCTTCTCACACCTCAAGGAAAGCCCAAGAGAAGGCATGATGAGAGCCAGTGTGGTGTAGTGGTTAAGAGCGGTGGACTCATAATCTGGTGAACCGGGTTCACGTCTCCGCTCCTCCACATGCGGCTGCTGGGTGACCTTGGGCTAGTCACACCTCTTTGAAGTCTCTCAGCCCCACTCACCTCACAGGGTGTTTGTTGTGGGGGAGGAAGGGAAAAGAGAATGTGAGCCACTTTGAGGCTCCTTTGGGTAGTGATAAAGCGGGATATCAAATCCAAACTCTTCTTCTTCTTCCCTCCTCCCATGGGGTTGCCACAGTCCATCAGAGCTTGGGGCAACTGTTCCTTGCTTCCTTCACCAGCAGACCACCCTTGGGCTTTCCTTCAGACTCAAGAAGCCCTGCTCATTTTAGTGGCAGAAACGTCAGCCAACTACTGTCCACCCATTTCTTTGTTGACCCTCAAGAGAGGGCCCCTGGCACCTTCAGGTCTCTCCCATCCATCCTTCCTCCTCTCGCGCTTTCCGAAACAATATCTCACCCGAAACACACAACTAGCCAGCCTTCGAAAATTCTTGCTTCTCTGAAATTTGAGATGCAGTTCTCCAAGGAACGTGCACAAAAAATTGTGTGCTAGGATACAGCATGTGCCTAAAAATGTATATATTAGTGAAAGTGGTGTACAAAAATACATGTTAGTGGAAATGGCTTAAACTGTGGAATTTGCTTCTGCAAGATGTAGTGATGGTCATCAATTCTGATGGCTTTGAAAGAGTGTTAGGCAAATGTATAGAGGATAAGAGTATCTGTGGCTACTGGCCATGATGGATGTGTACTATCTCCACCAATGGAGGAAATTTCCCTTGATATTTCCGTTCCTGAGTGCTGTCACACTCAGATCTTGCTTTCAGGCTTCCTGTTCACATCTTTTTAGCCACCAATGGAGGAAATTTCCCTTGATATTTCCGTTCCTGAGTGCTGTCACACTCAGATCTTGCTTTCAGGCTTCCTGTTGGCATCTTTTTAGCCACTGTGAAGACAGGAAACATGATTAGATGAGCCTTTGGTCTGATCCAACACGGTCTGATTACAGTGGTGTCTGATTACACCACTGAAGAAAACCAGAACAGTTGATTGATATCATCATCATCATCACCATCATCAGCATTGGCATACCACCCTTCAGCCGTAGATCTCAGGACAGTTCACAAAATAAAAAGATAAAAACACACAATACATCATCATCATCACCGTACCCTCCTGCTCCCACAAACACATTTAAAAGGGCATCAGACGTTAATCAGCCAAAGGCTTGATTTGAAGAGGAAAGCTTTCACTTGGTGCCTAAATGAAGGCACCAGCCGAACATCCCTGGGGAGAGCATTCCACAAATGAGCCACTGCAGAAAAGGCCCATATTCATGCTGCCATCCTCTGAACCTCTGGCAGAGGAGGCACATAAAAAAGGGTGTCAGAAGATGATCTCAGGGTCCAGGTTTATTCACATGGAGAGAGGTGGTCCAGCACTTGGAATTGGGCCCAGAAACTAATTGGCAGCCTGTGCAATTGGGCCAGGAACAGTGTGATATGCTCAAACCGTCCTGCGCCGGTGAGCAACCTGGCCGCCAAATTTTGCACCAGCTGAAGTTTCCGTACCGTCTTCAGAGGCAGCCCTATGTATAATATATAACGTGTTGCAATAATCTAACCCAGAGGTTATCAGAGCATAGACAACACTAGTTAGGCTAGATAGGGCACAGCTGGAGCCCTGGCCGAAGCTGATGGAATTTCTTATATGTGACTATGTGTTTGATGAAGGAAATGTTGATTTGCTCAGAAGACCACCAGTAATTGTGGATACTGCATGTTGGTTTTAGTTTTTGTGCTCATAAAATATGGATTCTTAAGTCCTTCTGTAATTGGTGCTTTGCATTTGTTAACAAGCTGGGATAAATAATGGTCTGTTTGCGCTTAATAGACTATTCCCTTGGCGCTGGGAATTGCAGTCCTTGGGGTGGGGGATGATGAGCAGATGTTTTCTCTCAGCATCTGCCTGTCAATCTACTATTCCCACAATTCTTTAGAAGAAGGTATGGCAAAGTGGTTGAAATCTAATCTACCTGTAACGCGGACCCATCGAAACTTGGCCATTCAGCCTTTTAGGACTGAACTACATGCAGCCTAGTCAGCTCAAGAAGTGGGGCAGACTGGGGTAGGAGTGTCAGGCAGTGAGGCTTTAGGCCAGGGATGGGAAACTGTGGTTCTCCAGATGCTGTTGGAATATAGCTTCCGTCCTCCTTATTCATTGGTCATGAAGGTGGGAACTGAGGGAATTGGACTCCAACAACATCAAAACAGCCCCCAGATTCTCAGTCCTTGCTTTAACCCTTGACCCTTGTTGTTGTTGTTGTTATTTGATGATGATGCTGATGATGATGGTGGTGATTTAATTTTTAAAAATCAACTATGCAAGGGTAAAATGAACGGCAAATCTCATACCTGTTTTGACCTTTAAATAGCTGGGTATTAATGTTTGTGTGTGCCTACATATAGAGGAAAGAGACAGGCTATAGGAAATGTAAAAAGGTAAAGGTAAAGCAAAGCAAACCCAAATAAATTGAAAAAAGTTTTTTGGGGGAGTGGGGTGTAAAATGGTTCCTCCAAAGATATATTGCAATTAATTTCATTGGAGTTTCACTTCAAAGGTTCCTAAAGCCTATCTGGCCAGCAAGCACAGCTGGTGTTTGCACTGCAGCTATATAAAAAATTTGAGCCTAGTTTGTAAACTAAATTAAGTGAGGCTAGCCCTGCATCCTCCTTATGCACACACACACACACACACACACACACACACACAC